AGGCTCCCCGGGTGGTGCTGCTGCTGCGGCTGCTGCTGCTGGGACGGGGCGGAGGTCCTGAGCTGGGGCGCCTCGGCGGAGCCCCGGCCGCCCGCCAGCTGCGATTCCAAGGAGCCCACCAGGTCGCTGACCGCCTTCTCGTCCACCTCCTCGGAGAAGAGCAGCATCTCTTCCAGGGGGTCCGAGGCACCCGCCGCCATCTTGCGCTGAGCTGGGAGCCGGCCGCGCAGCGCGCAGGCGCGCCAGCCTCTGCCGCGCGCGAGGCATTCTGGGAGGGGCCGGCTTCCTCCTCCCCCGCCGGGGGGGCGGGGGCAGAGCGCGCCGCTGGCGAGTGTTGTGGCGTCCTCGCTGGTCCCGGGCTGTGGCCGTCTCCTCCACGTCCTTAGAGGCCCGGTGAGCTCTGTAGCGCTCCTGCGGACTCTGGCCGGCAGGGTCCGGGAATAGCCCGGCGGCCTGACCGGTCTGGGCGAGGGACGGCTACGTGAGGGAGAGGGCCGGGGGCGTTCGTGAGGGGGCGGTAGGCTGCTTCCCGGCCGCCTCGAGAAGCCGAGGAGCGGCAGGGGGTCCCGCCTTAGCGATGCAGGGGGGGTTGTGTAAGAGGCTGCCATTGATTGTGTCTGTAGGGGCTTCTGGCAGGGAGGTTTGGGGCATGAAGGCCTGCGGCCCTGGTACGGAGGGTTGTGAGCTTGCACATTGGAAATTGAAGTGTCATGCAATCATGTTATCTTTTGGTAGTGAAGCTGCCGTAATTGTGCTCTTTGCCTTCACTTCGTACCCTGTGAGGATAGTTGTAGGCAGCACAATTTTCTTCACGCTTAGAGAACTGAAAGCATGCGTGCAGTCGGCTGTAGTGGCTCAGCTGCCTTACACACGAACTCCTTCAAAGGAGAGAACTTCAAGTGTTGTTGAAGCTGTTTGAAATCCTAAGATGCACGCAGAGTACGTGCACTCACATTTGTGCTGCTGTGTCTGCTTCAGAGTTTTAGACGTTTATGTCCAAAGCTACTGCTCTACCTAGATGAGAATGGTTGCAGTAATACAATTTCCTAATGTGGACACTGTTAACAGAAGACTTGTAAACCAAAAATAAGATTCTTGACATCATCACAGCAGCTGTTCTGGGATACTGTGTTCCCTCAGCATCCCCACAGGAAACTTGAGGTATTTTGTTACTAACATTTTGCCATTGCACTTCTGTAGGCCCTTTTCCCATCAACGTTTGCCTCATGGATTCAGAAATACCATTTAAGAGAAAAACGGTGGTCATAACCCATCATTTCTTTGACTAATGACAGGGCGGTTTCTTTGGTGGGACCTTGAAAATAAATATTTTCTCCCGTGAAGAACCATCGCCCACAGTTCATTGCATCTGTTCTTGCATGCAAGTGATAACCACCATGGCTTTGTGAGGTTGCCAGCAGAAAGCAGCTTGGATTCCATTATCTGTCTCTGCCGGCCCGCAATAGCGTGGATGTCTGCAAATTTGGATGTATTTGAGCTGCTGCTCTGTGGCCTGAAATGGTGACTCGTTCTTCATTTTGTGATTTTCAGGATTTTCCACAAAATTAAAAAAGGTGCATCAGTGAATAAACCACCTTCAATTGCACAATGCACTGATGGAAACAAGTGAAGGGCTCACAGTGCAGGCGTGCACACAACTTTTCTCCATTCCCACACTCAATCTGTTAAGTCACACATTGTATGACTTGCTTGAGTCACAACACTAAACTGCTAATAACTGGTTTGTTACCATCCGTTTCCTCTCAATGTAGGTTATGTTTTTATTCAGGGTAGTTTTTCCTGATTGTCTGTTTATACCCTTAGGAGCAGGTTTATGATGAATCAAAATAAACCACTTTTAAAATGCATTAAAAATAGGTTGCCCCAGTTTAGTTAGGATAAGTTTAAATGTCTCCTGAAATTAAACCAGTGCATATCTCTTAAATAAATTGGCCAGTAAAAGTATCGAAGGCCCAAAGGCGTGGTCAGGGTGTATAAACTGGAGACTGCAGTGAGTGAATGTGAAAGCACAGTAGTGCTTATGAGAAACAGTATTAAGTGTACGCAGGAGATCTATACATCAAAAATTTGCTTAGCAAATGAGTATTGCTTTTATGGAATGCTACAGCTGAATTAAATTTGGACTTTTAACAAATGTTTCTACCTGGAAATTTAATTAAAACATGGTAGGCTATTACTCAATTTGCTATTGCACAAAAATAAAGAATATTCATTTGGGTTGGAAAAATACCAGAATCTATCCAATATTACTTTGTTAAGAGTCCCACATTTTATTAATTTTATTAGAGAAGATTCCATGCTTCCTTCACTTATTTGCCCTGATCCTGGACTTCATTTGCATACCACTATCTCCACAGTTTTTATAAGAGAATAGAAAGTTAGACATATGATTCTGCAACCACTCCTGACTATGAAAAAAGTTTTAGTACACATTTTTCTAACACTATGGCATTAAACTGGGTGTCTCCATAAAAACCACCTGGGAGGAGAACTTTATTGCTCTGTAACTTTAGAAGAGAAAAAGTAATCTTCCCACCGGAAGGAGAAAATGGCAAGTCATGATTTATAAGACAGATTTTAAAACTTAAAAGATTACCTACTTTTAATTACAGTTTTAAAGTACACTCGTGGGTGGGTAATCTGTAAAACATTAATTCATATTTCTTCCCACTCACCTCTTCTTATTTGAGCCATTTTATATATATAAACACACAGAATAAGGAAGTATAATAGAATATTTTATTTAATAAAACATGATGTATACTGATTCACAATGGACTCCTTTCAAGTCAAGAAGTGATGACATACATAAGAATGTATATAAAGTTGTTGATGAAGCTGGCTTTGAGCTTGCGCTTTGACATAGGGAATGAGACTTTTAGTAAAGTACAGAATCTCTGTGAACTTTTGTATTTGTTCTTTTATTATAAAAATCTTTTTCTGATGTTTACACTTTTCATCATAGAAAACATTTCTGAACATATTTGTTGCTCTTTCATTTTTTAGGTTTTTTTCCAATTTATTCTATTTTATAGAATAAAAAAATTGAAGAGACCACTGTGATCATCTCATCTGATCTCTTAAAATACAATCTTTCCTGAAATATTTTGTGTTTGAAATAGAGAATGTCTATTAGGAAAGTTAACTTCCAACCATGGTTTTAAAATTGCCTGTGAAAGAAAATCCACCACAAAACTTGTTAAGTTGCTGTTCAGTTATCAACACTGTTAAACCCTGTGCCCCGTTTCCAGCCTAAGTTTTTCATTAATAAGTCACTACATAATAGAAGTACCACTGCCATGTTAAACTGCAGGGATTAATAACAGTTCAGATAGACAAGTATCTTTTCGTCATCTAAAGAAGTGAAAGCACTTAGAAAGGAATGCTATCTTTCTAGTATGTGACATGGGTTTCTTCAAATACACACTTTCAGTGCATTCAAATATACAATTTAACTATTCTAAGTTTAAAATTAAGATGATACCAGGTTTAGATAAGATTTTGAGATAACTTCTTAAAATGAATTTACAGAACTCTCTACATATATAATTGAAATTTGCTTTATGCTATAAAAATACTTTCAACTGCTGATTTTAAGTATGAATTAGAAATTATAAATTCCACAAATTGGAGAGCACAAAGATGGCTAGAGTTACCAACAGCTGCTCTAGAAATATGTCTAAATTTAGTTTCATGTATTTCAGTTACAATGGAATTTCTTTTTTATATATGGCTTATAGAAATTTAGGAGCTTTTGTTTTGAAGTTAATTGTAATTGTAAATACTTGTCTGTGCTCATCTAGACAGGACTTGATGGAGAGGGTTGGGAAAATTTTACATCAAGAAGGTTCCGATTTAACCCTTAAAAAGTTTTTCAAGGGGATACTTTCCTATTCTTCACTTTTTTTTTTTCCTTTTCTTTTATTCATTCTGGCCAACTTCTCTCTTCCAGAAACTTAAAAGTAAACTGGCCATTTTCCGCTTGAATTCTCTCCTGAAACGCTCATCTACTGCGTCCCAAGTTCAAAGAAACGTCCATTTCTATTTCCTGTTCCACCACACAATCTTGAAACCCTAATTCTATAAATGGGAGTCTTCAACTACAGTTTTGAGAGAGGCAGATGAGGGAGAACTTAGGAAGATGTTGGCTAGAAGCAAAGCCACATGGCTCTTTGGGGCAAGTGGTTGTATTTCAAGGTATTCTTCTTCCCCTTCTCTGTGCTCTTGTATCAGTATCACAGGCCTCCCTGATACACCCTTTCTTCCTTCATGGACTTGATATGGCTGTGTATATCCAGTCACTAACTGCAGAACTTTGTTCCAAAATCTTTCAAGTAGTCCAGGACATGCTAGGAGCATATCACAGTAAAGCTCCCTGGGCACTCAGCTGAACTTGGGCATAAAGTTTCCAAAGTCTAGTATTGCTCCTATTTAGAAACATGCAGGCCCTTCCAGAAAAATCTGGCTTGCTATCGTGTTTCAAAGCCCTATTCTGAACAAAATACTTGCTGAATCTTTGCAACGTATTAGTGTCAGTTGCTGCAACAAAAGCTATTAAGTACCCTTTCCAGAAGTTAGGTTTTGTTGCATGTAATTTTCTAGGCTGCAAATATAAAAAGGGGGGCCTGAGGCAGTATCATGTTTTAACAGGCAAAGCCTCCAACAGGAAGCCTCATTTGTGATTTTTACTTAAGGTGTACAAGGTAAGTGCAATCTCAAAATTTTTTTTGTGTTTACTTGTACTAAAAGGGTACTTTTTTCAGGATTAATTCCATCCACACTTCAGTCAAGATTTCATCAACAGTTGCATTGCTTAGTGTTGCTTGGCAAGATCTGACTATCTCAACACTGCCAACTGAGTAAAACGGAATCCCCCTTGAAATACAAACTAAATGGTTCTCATCATCTAAACTTTTGCAGTTCCCCGCGTGACTGGGTTCTGTAATTACTTATTAAGGATCACAAGAATTTAGCATTCAATGATAGGTGGCTTGGGCCTCTCTCAAAAAAACCTGAAAACCCCAAATCGCCAAACCGACTTTCACATCTCCCGGTGTTCACAGGCTGCGGCAAGGGTGGGGTTTCCAAGCGGCGAGCTCAAACTCCCGGCACGCTGGGTGGGAACCCGGCTAGGGGGAGCCGGGGGAGCCGCAGGCGCCGCGGAGCCCCGACCCAGCACCGCTCCGGCCACGCACACCACCCGTAGGGCGGGGAGGGAAAGCGCGAGCGGGGGCGGGCCGGCCACCCCCACCCGGCCCCACCCTGTCGGGGGAGCCACACCGCTGCCGGGGAAGCCAAGCCGGCCTGTCGGGCGAGCCACACCGCTGCCGGGGAAGCCACGCTCACGCTCCGAAGCAGGAACGCGGTAGAGCTCTCGTGGCTTCAAGGCCGCTAAATTAAATTCCCGGGCAGGCCAAATGGCCGCCCCCTCCCCTCAGCGGCCTCCGCCCCGCCCCCGGCCGCCAATTCTCGCGAGATCACCTCCACTCCCGGCATCCATTTCGCAGCTGGAGCGAGGGGGGGCGGCTCTGAGGGAAGATGAAGGCGGCGGCCATGTTGGGAGCTTCAGGGTGGTTTCGGTGCGGGGTGTGCTGAGGGAGTCTGCGCAGGGAGAGCTGTCGGTGGGGGATCGGCGGAAGGTCGGGCTCGAAGCGGGAGGAGTAGAGCGCCTACTACGACTCTGAGCCGGGCTTGTTTAGTTGCTTGTGCCCGGCTTCAGGAGCGCTCGGCAGGGGAGGAGGGGAGGGGTGTCCCTGACCGAGGAGCGAGCACCATGAGCGGGGGGACGCCCTACATCGGGAGCAAGATCAGCCTTATCTCCAAGGCCGAGATCCGCTATGAAGGGATCTTGTACACCATCGACACCGAAAATTCCACTGTGGCGCTGGCCAAGGGTAAGGACTTCGCGGAGTAGAGGACTGGGCCCTGGCGGCCCAGCAACGCCTCGGGGAAGGGGCGGGAGGGGAGCGGGACCGTCGTGCCTGCGGCGGCGTAGGGACCGTTGGGGGCCCGTCGGAGATCGAGCAAGCACCTGAAACCGCGGCAGAGTCGTCCGTGGCGTTGTGGTGCTGAGGAGGCCCGGAGTGCGAGGGGGAGGCCTACAGCCTACGAGGGCCCAGCAGCAGCTGCGGGGGGGCTTGGCGGAGCTTTGGTAAGAGCCCGCGTAGTTTCGGCCGGAGGCGCGTCCTCCCGCCATCCTCCCCGACGGAGCGTCTGCGGCGGGGCCGTGGTGACCCGCGACGCTTCACGGCGGAGGTGGAAGTGAGCAAGGGGTTGGGAGAGCGGCGGCGCGACAGCGCTGCGGAGGCCCCTGCTCCCGCCGCGCAGGCTGCTCTCCCGGCTTCGGGGTGGGGTATGGAAAGCTCAGCGGCGGCGGAGGACCGTCGCGAAAAGGAGCTAGAAACCCTACCTAGTTAGGGGCTGCTCAAAGGAGTCCTGAGTAGAGTAAAAGTATGAAGCCCTTAGCGGTGGAAGTGGTCCAGAGTTAGTGCGTAAAAGGGAGTAGGAGGGGGAGGCTGGAAAGAGGATTTCTTTGCATCGTAAGAATTCCAGACCTACAGGGCACAGGGCTGCGTACGAACTGAACTCTTAGGCATCCTGGGGTAGGAGACAACTCGGGTCTAAAGGGGATCCTGTGAGTGCGAGGTTATCGACAAAGAAGGCTGATCGTGAGGTCTTCATTTTGGAGGTAAACTGTATGGCACTGTATAAATCGAAATTGGGTACGGACACTGGCATGAGAATGTATTGGCCAGAGAATACATGTGTGTTTATGTATAAGAAAGTTAGGAAGAGATGTTTATTGAGAAGAGAGTCAGAGACTGGGGAGTAAAAAAGAGGACCTTTGAAACAGGGCATCCAAAGGACTTAGGACTTCCCTGAGAGTCAGAGACTGGGGAGTAAAAAAGAGGACCTTTGAAACAGGGCATCCAAAGGACTTCACTGTTTCTTGTGCATGATAATGCACTCTCAACACAAGCATACTAGCCATGGCAGTGAATGTGTAATATTAAGGTATAACATTAAGTCAGAATTTTTAATAACTTCTTTATAATAGATTCTGCAAAACTCAATGGTATTTTACTTCTTGACTCTACTGTAAAGTTTTTCTAAATAATCTAAATGCATCTATAAAAGCAGAGAGTTTATCCAGCCATTAGGTAAGGGGGGGAAATTGCTCCTTGTGTAAATTAAATATTTGGGACTGAGAGTATTCCGAACCTCACTTCCTGTTTGATATGATAGGCTTTTCATTCTAGCATAATGACAATCTGTTACGTTTTACATAGTTGGTGTGTATAATAGTTGGCCTGTGGAGTTGATACCGTGTAGCAGTTTATTTGCTTTCATCTCGCGTTGGCCTTCGTGGTAATTCTTGTTTGTGTGCCTTGTCACTTTAAGGCCCTCTTCTCCCCCCTCCCCCCCCCGCCCCTTCCTCTAAAAAAACCCCCGGCAATTATTGGTTAAGAAATAGATAGCTTTGCTTTGTTTTGTAAATTCGTATATGTATGCTTTCAGACACCTTACAGTAGGTTTGGTCCCAGGCTTGCATAGTTCATTTATAGGGCATTTAGCTTTCATGATGTGATTTTTGCTTATTTCTAAAGTTGTCTTTAGGTTAAATTGCCTTGCTGGAATTGCATTATCTGTTTCAAAAGGACAGCTAGTATTTGTTTATGTGAGAAAAAGATGAGCACTGTGATTTAAAAATAAATGTTTAGAAATTCCAGTTGCATGCTGTGATTGTTAAGGTGTGTACAAAAGCACTTAGAAGAATCCCATCCTTGAAGAGCTTGTGATAGTCTTGCCCTAAATTAGACAGATTTAGTGCTGACCAAGCCAATTTTGCATGACTTCTCAAGAGTGGTTAAGTCATGTTATGGCATATCTGCCAAAGTGTACGTATTTAAGATAGATCTAACTACAGTTACAAATCTAATCTACTCTCTTCCCCATAGCTCTCATCAGAAATGTAAATCTAAACCATTAAATTTGCTTTAATAAAACTTGGCTGAGTTAGCTGAAGAATGTGTGTTTTGTATTATAATGTCATGATTCAGAAGAGAATAAACCAGTATTTCTAGGCCACCTGGAACCAAAAATCTTGAGATTAATCTGGAAGCTGATAACAACCATATTAGACCGTAAAACAGTTCACTCTGCTCATCAACAAAATGCTCAACTCTAGAGTATTCAGGTTTCTGAATAAATGAAGGCTTAGGTCATGTGAATGTGGTATGATAGCATATATGTAAGGTGACAAGCGTGGTTAATTATGGCTGGGTATGTGTGTGAAAGAAGCAGATCTTCCTTCTGAACAGTCCGTAGCTGTAAATATGTTGATCGGGTAATAGTTATCTCTTCTTCCTGTGGTGAGTCCAGAAGTCAAACCAGAACTGTTTACCATGGATCTTTACCACAAATGTCAACTTTTCTGCCAGAAAGAGAAAAAAAAAAAAAAGCCCCAAAAGATGACTCCATGCTTTCAGTTGCTCTGCTATGTAGCTGGCTTCATGTGACTGTTACCTGGGTTGAGTGCAGGGTGGCTTATGATTATTCATTTCCTAACTGAAATCACTGAAATTGTTTGTGACATAAAGTGCAAAAGTAGAGGTAGAATCTGTTCTTGAGTAACTACAGATTTGCCTAACAGTAGGACTTCTGTGGACTGAACTGAAGTCTGAGATTAATCTCATGAAGTTGTACATGTGTAATGCCTTCATTTATCTTAAATCTTCTGGGGTTTTAGACAGAAACAAGGTTTTTGGGTTGCTAACAGGGTACTGATTGTAGTCTTCAGTTACTGAGGGGCAATCTCCTATAGTTCTCTAATCAGCATTTTATTTACAAAGCTGTGATCCTTTCACTAGCAAAAGTTGTGGCCTCTGTCTCATGAGTTAGAGGAAGATAGCAACTGTTTAAATATTGAGCATAACATTTTTATCCTAAACTGGAGTCTGATAAAGGAAAGCGATGCATCCTTTCACAAAGTGTTAAAGGGTCTTGTTATTTAAATAACAGGGAAAACTCCCATCTATGTCAGATTCCAAATATTAAGCAAGCTATACAAGTACTTAAGGTTTTTATGTATTATTGGTGCATATGTTTTCTTTGGATTGCCAGCTTTTCAGAGCTAGTATTTGGAACAAAAAAACACCCGCTCTTATTCTCAAGTTTCAAGTTAAATTAACTTGGAATGTCCTTCTAGTTCATACTTCTAATTCATACTTAATTTTTTAAACATCATTAAGTCCAACCAATTTAAGAATCGAGTGTTTGCAAGCCACAGTTAGGAGTAAAATTTTCTTGCTCTGAAGTGATTGCTGCCCTACCTGGGGCAGTTATAGAATAATCATGATGGATTGTGCTTGATCTTACATGTTGTGGCATTAAAAACTAGATGTGATCTTTCATGCTAGTAATACATAATGTCTTTCTATTTCAAGGCACCAATTTAGAGAGAGAGATTTTTAATGTAGATAAGCTGTGCAAGAACAACCATATTGGGTCAGAAAAGGCTTTGTTCCCTACCAACAGTAGAGAATCCTTAGGCATGTGAGTATAAGAAACAGAAAATTACATACTGTCTCTCTGGTATAATGCATCAGTTTTCACTTACCAGCTGTTGGACTATTTAGAGTTGCATTTGGAACCATTATAATTAATAGATACTAATGAAGTAGCTTTCAGTAATTTAAGAAGTAGTTAAACTTCTGGCATTTTCAACCATCTGTGATAGTGTTTTCCGTAGTCAAATGACACATGAAAGAGAAAACTTCCCTTTCTTTTAGACTTTTACATAATATTAATTGGGTGAAAGACTCAGAAACGTAGACAGAAGAAAGCTAAATTGTTGTGAAGACTTGAGCTTTTCTTATAGGTCAGAGGTAGGAGCAGGAAAGGGAAGGGTTAATTTTTTATCAAGTTTTTATGAAGTTACTTTTTTAGTCAGTTAAATGACATGTTCTCTCCATGTCTTGAGGTTTAGGGTGTGTGTGCCAAACCAACCCTGTGCATAGTGTGTCACAGCAGAAAAATTCCTCTTGTCAAAGCCCACTCCTGGCTACTTCCCTCATATCTATCTCCCTGTTAACTCACCACCCCTACGAGTAAGGGAATGCAGACCTGAATTATTGTTCTGAAGGTATAAGCCCGCCAAAAGCTGGCTCCTTCACATTAATACTTTTCCTGTAACGGGGTGTGCAGGCATCTAAGCATGTTTACAGGGAAAGGGTTGGGGTGTTTTGAAGTGAGATGGCAATTGAAATGACTTGTTCTGGTAGTGGTGGTCTCATTTTAGTTGTCATCCTTCTCATGGGTGCCTTAAGGGTGGGGAAAGACTGGTTTTTGTGTATGTATGCTACATGTGAAGTAAGGCTGATAAGATTGTGTCAGTGCTGTGTACAGAGACTGAATTACATGTTTCCAATAATTCACATTATATGGGAACAGAGTCCTCTCTTGCTAGTAGAATATATAGCTTGGCTTCTGATTAACACAGTATTTTTCTGTGTTAATCCACAGGTAATCATTTCTGTTAACTGATAGGGAAAGTTGCAATGTTTTCCTTGGATACTATAGTAGTATAATATAGTAATATACATTAAAATATAGTATAGTAGTAACACTGAAGTCAGTCAAAATCTGTACAAAAATTTGCTCACAGCACTTTAATATGAAATTGGTGGAACTACTTGGGCATAAAGTCACATACATGAATCCTGTAAGGCTCAACAGCATTAGTTTCTTTCTAGCTAGCTACTTAATTGTGTGTATTTACACTGACCAAAAAAGAGTTTGCTTTTAACATGTGATGGTTGCCTTTTTGTTTGCAAGTCCCTAAGCCAGTTTAGCTCCTCTAAAAAAAAACCCAAAACAAACAAACAAACAAAAAAAAAACCAA